GGGCAGATAAAGAGCTTCCCAGACAAGAAAAAACTAAGAGTTCACCGTCACCAAACCATTATTATATGAAATGTTAAAGGGACTTATTTATCAAAAAGAATAAGATTAAGCTATGAACAATAAAATGGCGAAAATGCATATCTATTGACAATTGAGTCTAAAAGACAAACTTAGCAAACAAGAAGAGCAGAGACAGAATCATGGTTACAGAGAGTGTTTTGATGGTTGCCAGATGGGAGGGGGTATGGGGAAATGGTTGAAGGGGTTAGGGGTTTAAGAAGTACAAACAGGTAGTTACAGAATAGCCATGGGTGTAAAGTACAGTAAAGGAAATGGAGTAGCTAAAGAACTTAACACGCATGACCCATGGACATGAACAATGGTGTGGGGAATGCCTGAGGGAGTGGGCTGTGCTGAGTGGAGAAGAGCAAAGGAAGAAAAATCAGGACAACTCTAACAGCATAATCAATGATATAATTAAAAAATAAATGTTTATTTCAAATTTTTAAAAAATGTTAAATCAAGAGAACATTTAATGTTAGGCATATCTTCTCCTCACTTGTATAACATATTTAGTGAAGGACTCTTTAAGTGATAGATGAAAATGAAAATAATTAAAAAGAGAGCCACATAAAGGAAAGCTTAATTGAAAAATCCTTTAGAGAAATGAATTCTGAAGAGAAATGAAAATATTTTCAGTTGATAAAATAGAATGCATTTTGTGGTGGAGAGGAGGCAATTAGGCCATGTAATATTTAAAATTTTTAATTAATCACATGTGTATAATCCTGATCATTCTATACTTTTTACTTTAGAATACATCATTTTGGATTCCACCTTTGATTCTGAATTATCCTAGAGACCAATACTTCTTGTTCTACCCAGAGGCAATAAATGCAGCTTTTCTTTATTGTTATTATTGTTATTCTGTTAGCATTCATTTATTAGTATGACCTTTTTTTCATTCTGTGAGGGTATTCCTCTTAAATTTTCATTTATTATTGTGGCTAGTTTTATAAAGATGGAACATTGTGAAAGACTGTATTTTATTGATTGGTGGATTTATGATGCAGGGCTGTAAAACAGTGTGTTGAAGTACAGAATTAAATATTCTTCCTCTTTGTCCTACTTCAGGCCCATCTTGGAGGTTAAAGGTTATTTTACAGATGAAATGATAAATCCAGTTTACATAGTTTCCCTATAGACACTGAACACTTCTTATTATGTCTGAACAAAACTCATTATCTATTTTGTTTTAGTAATAATTATGAGATTCTCTGGTAAGCAATTCTTTACTGTCTCCATTATTCTCCATCTTATAGCAAACTCTGGAAAGGCAAGCATATAAATATGATAAAAGAATTAAGCTGTTGAAATAAATTAATTTATTATACAAAAATGTATTAAAATTTTACTTGCTCAATAGATTTTGCTTTAATGAAATTCTTCAAAGAACAATACATCATGTTCCAAAGATTGAAATTACACAATAAATGAAATGACTGAATATGTTGTATCTCAATTTATAGAAAGTTTCAATGGAACACTTAAGCTTTTAAATTATAAAAATTTGCATAAATTAAAATATTTTCTTTCAATAAAAGTATTAAGTATTGTCCTATATCCTTTGTTCCTAGATAAAAAATAAAGTAAAAATAAGCTAAAGCTAAATTAAATATCCAAATTTTACCTATATTTTCTAAGCCTAGAGTTGTGCTTTTGAGATGTCCTTTACATTAACATTTTAATCTAGTTTATTTTTTAATTATATTATTATGTGATCTTTAGAGTATTTTTTGTAAATGTGTAAGTGAATAATGCATAAATGAAAAGAATTAGCAGGATAAACTTTGACAGTGAAATATACTGACCAATGAAAAATACCTTTTATACTTATGTGGGAAATTAAACAAATAATTGTTTCTCATGGTAAAACCATTGTTTTTAGAATGTTATGTATTAAATAGTTAAGTATTTTATGAGTTGCTCAGGAAAATATTAGTTTCTCATATTTTCCATTGGCACTACTATGAAATCTGTTATGACAGCAAACAAAGACTTTCAAAATGATTTTAGAGGGATTGATTTGTTTCAACATTGTACTTTATCTTTAGTCAGCCAAACACGTGACACTGCAATTATGATCATTTATATAATTATTAAGGGAAATATTAAAATGTATGGATGAATAAACATTAATGTGAATGACCTATTGAAGAATGTGGAATTGTTAATTTAGAAAATTTTATTTATAAAACATATAACAATTTTCCTTCTCAAATACATATGATATTTTTCTATATAATCCCAGTGTTGAGTTACATGTATTAGAAATTAGCTTTAAAGAATAGACAAACTTGTATCTTCTTTTTTTATTTGTTTTATACGTTATTAAAATTTTTAATTTTTTAAATTACAGCTTATATTCAATATTATTTTGTATTAATTTCAGGTGTCTTCTTTATTAGAATTTCAAGATATTGAGGTCAGACTCTTTATAGAGTCTCTATACATGTCTATGGTCATGTATGTAGTTAGCTATAGGATAGGTTATTAACATATTTATACAGATTATAAAGGAGTTTCAGTACACAGTTTTATGAATCCATAAACTTTCCTGAACAAGCTAATTATAAATTTTAACTTTTGGGATATATGTGTGTGTCTCCTTTTTCCCCTCTTTCCTGCTCATCCTCTCTCTCTTACTCATTTGCAGTCTTTCAAATGCAACCCCACATGACTTGGATAGGAAAATATATCGATTGATTCTCACATTTACTTACATAACAGCCAGTTTTGCAATTTGCAGACAATAGAGCATTGAATTATTAAGCTCTCATCAATTGAGGTAAAGGGCTAATGTTACAGTATAATTTGATAATACATCCCTGCTTTGGGAGGTTTCTATTAATTGTCCCTAATAGAAACACTTCCACATATTTGGACCGTCCAAAAATTCCAAGACCCCTATAGTTCAAGAAGTTATCTTTACAACAAGATTCTAATACACACGTTTTCAAAGTAGAATTCGTTTCCTTTTTTTGGTTATCATATTATTTGATCTTGCAAATTTTTTGTCATGAAGTTTCTTATGGGATTATTGTTTATCCCGTGGAATATATAATGGAAAATCATTCTGTGCATGAATTTTGGATGAGGGCTTTGCCATTTTTTCTTGTTATTTTAATTTATTTGTCATGCTCCTTAAAAGTTAAGCCTCAGCATATCTGTTTACTGACAACGTTCAGAATTGAAAAATTAAAAAAGTATGAAACAGTGGTGCTCAAACTTGGATGAACATTAAAATCAACTGAAGAACCTTAAAAAATTACTGACATCTGGACCCCACTTCAGACTCGGTGTATCTAGAGCTGCTGTAACCAAGTGCCACAGAGAGCATGGTTTAAAACAATTGAAATTTATACTCTCCTATTTCTGGAGCCTAGAATCTGAAATCAAGATGTCAGCAGCATCCTGTGTCTTCTGATTCTTGGTAGAATCCTTCCTTGCCTCTCAGAAGCTTCTGGTGCTGGGCTGCAATCTTTGATAATCCTTGGCTTGCAGCTGCATAACTCCAGTCTCAACCTCCATCTTCACATGACATTTTCCCCTCATATCTTAGCAATATCTTCTTTAAGGACAGTAGTCATGTTGGAATAAGAGCCCATCCTACTCCACTGTGGTATCTTTTAACTAATCACATCTACAAAGACGCTATTTCCAAAAGAAGCCATATTCAATCTTTTCTGGGGATACAGTTTGACCCGTAACTCTCACTAAGCTAGAATCTCTGGTTGTAAAGGTGAGGCCCATGCCTCACAATGGGGAAGTTTTGAGAACTTCCCAGGTGATTCCACTGCAAAGCAGGACTGTGAACTATCGCTGGGCTCATGGAACCTCTGGGACCAAGGATGTGAATTATCCTCACTCTCCATACTGCCATTCATATTTTCAAAACAGCCTGCTACAGAACAATTTATTTTAGAAGATTCATTTTTTAAATTATTTTTAAATATTTATATTGTTCACTCTGATAAAGTAGGATTTATTATTTATTATGAATCATGTAGAAATTTACTTCTACCATTTCATGTTTTTATTAATTATTGAAAAGACAGTTCTTTTTCAAGGCCTATGTATGTTGTCATGTCTAAAGGTATAAAAATATCTTGCTGTACAAAAACGAAAATGTTAACAACTGATTATCTTATTTTTTAATCTGTAACTCCATGTATAATGGATTATTGGAGACAGTTATACAACATATTTATATGTAGTCTAATGGGAAAGGTACAGTGCTTAGAGGGGATGATACGATATGAAGTGGACGCTGTAGAACAGTATCAGGAAACATGGTATCAAGTTCCTCTGGGAAAGAACTAATACATATTTCATGATTTCTCTTGCTACATTAGTGTGGTCGAATTGAATCAGGTAGTCTCAAATTTATTACAATCAAAGAAATTCATTCCAATGTTAAATAATTGATTTCTACGATGCCTTAAAATGTGACCATCCAAGTGTGTCTAGAGCAGTGCCATGATGAAGCAGCTGTAACAACTTCTCTGATATTATTATTGTGCTCTGCCATGGAGATAATTTGTGCGCTAAATGATCCTGAGACATTTGCTGTAGCCATAGAATATATTTCAAACTTTCTTTAGATTGATCATTAGAATTGAAACCTGCTTTGTTCTGTTAATTCTTTGTTGTCTAATGCATTCTAAGCTGGTTGCCTTCTTTGGCCACTCTTTTTACCCCTTGATGGGCGATGTTTACCAGTGCCACAGTGATGTGTCCCTATAGAGCTAATTTTTGTTCTAGCCTTTGCCTGCTTTGCCTTGCTCAAGATAAAGGGTGTTGTAATACAGCTAAATGTTAATGAAAAAAATGCGTTTATTGTCTTCACACTTCTATAATATTGAGAAAAATTAATACTCCTTAAGTAAAGGTCCAATGCCTTTCCCTCTTGTTTTTCCTGCGTTCCCATGGCGGTCTAGGAGCGAGTCCCCGACAGCCCCTCGCCTGCCCCCTCTCTGGAGGAGGGCCGCAGGCCTGGCAGCCACCCGTCATCACATCGCAGCAGCAGTGTGTCCAGCTCCCCGGCGCGGACTGAGAGCTCTTCTGACAGAATCCGTAGGTCTCATACTTTTACTTGTCACCGTTTTCAACTTTATTAGGTGCAGCTGGCTTTTCTAATCAAAATGCCCTCATTCCAAATAGATCTCAGATGTATCATGTTCTGAAGCTCTGCAGCAATAGCCATCTCTCAAAGTTATGTTTCCCAGTTTGCAATATCATGAGGTATGGTACTACATTAACAGGTTCTGATATAAACTCCCTCTCTTTGATGCCACACATAAAGATTTGAGCTATGAAACATTTAGAGAAAGTAAGTAACCTTCTAGATTAGTTTCTGAAGTAAACACCTCTAACTCTCAATATCTACTGTGTAAGTATCTGTTTATGGGTTATTCATCTTCATCCTTTCTTCCCTCTCTTTTCTTTCAATCCCACCCCTGACATTTTTGAAATTCACTAATTTTTTTAAACTATAGCAGCCCTTACAGAACACAAACATGTACATACAATACACACACACACACACACACACACACACACATAGACTTATACATAACCTGCCTCATATATTTTATTTTAGTTATTTATTTTTTAACTTTATTTTTATTGTTGCCACTATGATAGATATCCCCTTTTCCCCACCCTTTGCTCTCCTTCACCAAGCCAACACCCCCTTTCCCTCTGGCCATCATTTTTATATTGTCAAAGATATCCACAAAGAGGAATAAAAAAACAGAATTCAAAACAGTTGATTATTAGTTGATAAAAATATTTTATAGTCATTAAAATGATGAATAGATTAAAAGCTTGCAATTGGTTAAGTTATAGGATTTGAATTAGTCAATAGTACATATTATTGTCATATGTTATTATTATTAAATTCTAAAAAGTAGGCATATAGTTTACTTCATGATCACATTTTCAGATATTTCATCTTGATCCACATGGCCAAGAAAATTAAGAGTAAAGTTAAAATGACATTCAATTAACTGGTTATTTTGTGCCCATACAAGAATCAAACATTGTTTTGCCAATAAAATAAACATATTAACACTGACTCTTTTGTTGGTAAAACCAATGTTTATTTTATTCTTTCCAGGATTTAGTTTTTATATTCTGAAATTATGCTTAGTATAAACTTCAAGTAATTACACAAAATTTATTGGAGTTATTTGGTTGTTGAGAACATTTTCATAATAAAAAAAAACTCCTACAAAGTATCTTTGTAAGTTTTCAAGGAATACTTGCATAAGACAGAAATCCTCAATATGGATACTGTTGAGGTGGATAAGTTAAATGTTAGTTTGAATTATATGTAATGAAGTTATTTTTAAAATTATGTAATTCAAAATAATTCAAAATGTGAGTACTTGATTTGGACTATCTACAACATATTTCCTTATTTTGTAAGAGGTGACCGTAACTGTTTATTAATCATCATTCCCAGGTGCTATTCCTGGAGCTGGTAAAGCCCAGCTCCCACTACATCAAACCATTTTCCAAATAAAATAATTTCTGTATGTGTTTGTGCTATGCTGACACTGGAATCAGAAATTTAATAATGAGTATTTTGTTTTATTTCTAATTTTTTAATAAAATATTGTCACTGGAAACGTATAGTCCTAGAAAAAGAAAAATTTTTTCATACCACTTAAATGGAAATATGAACAAATAGGGAAAATTTTGAGCTTTGTTATACATTCATGTTTTTTCATGAATCATTGTAATCTTCTTTATTCTTCAGTAAAAAAGAGAATTTTTTTGCATGTGAAAACTACCATAACTGTTCAAATGAAAATAAATATATAAACATGCACATACACACACATACAGACTCATATGCATACATGTGCACACCCGTGCACATATGTACACATTTATTTTAACTTGGTATAAAATTATTTTAGACTAACATAAAAATATCAAGAGTAATACAAATATATCAAGAGTAATACAAATAATTCTTGCATGCTCATGACCCAGATTTACACAACTGATGTCTCTGAAAGAGACACCCTGATTAAAAGCATAGACCTACTAATACTCTTTTCACAGACATCAGCTTCTTTACCTTAAATATTTCATTGGTTAGTTTCTACAAACAAGAAATTTCTCTTATATAATCATAGAACAGGATCAGAATCAGGAAATTACAATTATTATAGATAGTATTAATTTCTGAACTATTAACCCTCTTCAAAATTTACAACTTTCCTACTAATATTTTTCCCTTTTTTCCCCCCTCACCAATGTTTTTAATAACAAGATTTTTTTTTTCCTGGATCAAAAGCCAGTCTAGGACCACATGTTGCAATTACTTCTCACATTCCCTTAGTTTCATCAATCTGGAACAGTTTCTCATTCTTTCTGTCTTTTAATACCTTGACATATTTGAAACATGCAGGCCATTTATTTTGTAGAGTCTCTCTCAGTTTGGAATTTTTTGGTGTTTCCTCATGATTTGACTTAAGTTATGCATTTTTGGCAGGAGTCATACAGACATGATAGTGTGTCCTCAGTGCATCGTTTCAGGAGACATATGATATTTCTCCAATATTTTTTATAACTATCACTTGGTTGAGGTACTGACTACCAGATTTCGCTACTGTAAAGTTCCTTTTGATTACATTTTTATAGATAGTAAGTATCTTGTGACTCCTTGTATTTTAAGACTATGTAATCTGTTTATTCATCAAAATTTCGCTCCACTAGTTTTAGAATCAGCCATTAAAGATTATTCCCTGAAACAATTATTACCAAGCTGATTTGCAAATGCTAATTTCTAATATTAGTCATGTGATATGTTAAAAATATCTATTTTTCAGGAAAAGTAAGCCTTTATGGGATGATTCTAATTCCAAATTTCTGAACAAAACCAAGATTTCCATGGGCAACTTATTAAGAAATTTTTTGACTGGAATATGAAAATCCTAAGGGTGTTTGATCATCTACCTTTCATTTCAATAGTGACAGTTTACTCTAAATAGTTCAAGAAAGCAATTATTGCTTTTAACCATTTGACCATTTTTTAGATATTAACTGGGCACTTTTAGAGTTTGAGTTCAAATTCATTTTTTAAGGAAGTACTCTGATATGTATAAAACCTTGAGTTTGATATCAAGTATTATCATTAAAGCATTAAGTTTTATTGACTGGATTAGAATTATTGAAACAGTTATTTCAGTGCCTTACCTTATTGAAAACTCTATTTGTCCTCTGAGGCCACTAGAATTTATTTATTATATCTTAAGTTTGTAGTGTTAAAGTGTGTTCTGATGTTAAGATTACAGTTTTTCCAAAGTAAAGGAAGGTTACAAGCTGATGTGAGAACATGATGCACTACATGAAAGCTTGACTATTTCATTGGTATCAGTTTTAGTGATTGACCATTCATTAGAGTTACATATGTTAAGTAATTAGAACATTATATTTTATGTATAATAAATATAAGATAAATTTGTTTTATTTTTATTATTTTTCTGCTTATCCTCAAGAATAATCATCTTTATCAATTCTTACAGTATTCTTAGAGATAGAGCATAACTTTACAGTTAGACCATCATATTTTATTTTCTTTTGAGTCTAAAAGTCTAAGTGGTTTATTTATTTGAACATTGTATGTTATGATGTTTTTCTCTTTTGTTTTGGGCTTGACAGCTGTTCATCAGAATGGGTTGTCCATGAACCAGATGCTGATGGGTTTATCGCCAAACGTACTCCCTGGGCCCAAAGAGGGAGATTTGGCTGGTCATGACATGGGGCATGAGTCGAAAAGAATGCATATTGAAAAAGGTAATATATGATTATGTCATCCTGTTTTTCCTGCTAAACATATGAGCTAGATTTTAATCATAGAATCAGGTATATTTTTAGATCACGTAAAAAGATGGCATATGAACATTTTAAAAACCTGCAGTATTAAGTGATAATTAAGCCTACTCTACAAAAAGGAGGTATGAATGAAGATCTGCTTTTCTCTTATACAACAGGTAGGTGTTAATTTATTTTCCAGTGCATGTTAAAAAAGAGAATCATTTGTTTTGTTATATATGAATACTGGATGTCTGTTTGCCTTTCTCAATGCCTTTAGTGCCAATTGTTATTTTACTCAGCATGATAGAGCAGCAGCAACATACAAAGGATTACTATGAATATTTTTGAATGAAAATACATATGGTCATGGGACCAATCAGGAAAAAGTATTGAATTTTATCAGCCAGGATACTAGTAGTTGTTTCAAAAGTGTATATAACAAAAAACAAAGCTGAGATTGTGCAAAGATGTCAAGGTTCTATGTTTATATTCCATTTGTATCAACTTAACTCATTTTAATAGGCAAAATTTTATGTTTTCATGCCCTATTCATGAAGACCTTTCATGAAGAAATTGAAATATCATTTTAGTATGCATGTTGGAAATTTATGCTAGTAGGTGCAAATTCATGTTTTCAAGTGGTAAGTTTTGAATTGTGAAGATAGGCTCTCCATCTTTTTCATTCTAATTTAATCTTTAAAATGTAATTATTATAGACTAGGTATTTTTACTATCTTTTTGATATGAATATCAAATAATTGGTGTTATGAAAAGAATTATGTTTTTGAAAAACAATATATAAAAATCACAATCAGCTGTCAAAAAGGAAAATAAACAAAATTGGACATTTAAATAGTTAATCAGAAAGAAACGATTGGAAAAAGACTAAATTAAGGTGGAACAACTTTTTTCTCCAATAAGACTATTCACATAAGGTAAAGTTGCTTACAGAAAACAGTATTCATTCAATATTAAAACAGCTCTCCTGAGCCGTCAGGGAGAAAGAATAGAGTAATTCTTCAAGCTAAATCATCTAAATTATGGAATGTCAATTAGAAAATGATCACCTTTTTCTAGGTGTTAACAAGCAAAAGTCTAGGCATAATTGAGAGACAACAGCATGAAGGCAACTTTCTAATTATTTGTTTTGAAATTTGATATCAAGTCTCATTACTAAGGTAGGTGACCTATATGCAGTGTGTCAATGGGCCAGACGGTCTCTTCATGTCTATTACCAACGTTTCCACAAGTTCTTTTCAACAATAAATAAAAATGTTATAAATATTGTACCTCATGTGTACTTTGATATATATCTTTTACATTTAATCCAAGACCTTATTTTTAGAAATATGAATATTAACAGAATGAAAAATATAAAGCTTCATGGGAGATTTAAGTTTTAAGTAGTGATATATAAATGTAAGAATCCATTGTTTAGGTCAAACAGTCATTCTCTACTAAGGTTCTTTAAAGAAATAAAGACTTATAAAATATGATTTCTCGGTTTTCCCATGAATGCCACATAACTAGTTTCACTTGAAACCCACAAAAGAGACGTTAATTTACAATCTACAGTGGATGTCAGGATATTAAGGCTTAATTCTCCTACACACTCTGGTGGAGAAGGGATAAGAGAGAAATAGGGGAGTCCAGGTCGAGCTGCCAGCGAGGAGACTGCCACCAAAGGCATAACCAAGTGATGTGATTGACATGACGCATCTCACTGGAATTTTTGGTGAGAGCTTTCATCAACCTGATGTTTCATGACATGTTGACCTATAATTTTTGTAGATCTTTCTCTTTTTCATGAGTAATGAGTGAGTCCTGTCTATCTCTCTATCATCTGTCCTCTGTTATTATACATTATTTCTTATTATAAATTTACCCCCATATTAGACTGATGATCTGATGATCTAGGGACCCCACTTCTGGTTTTCCCATGTACCTGCCACAAAAACCTTCAATACCACATTTTCCTGTTATTTGGAAGTTATATCATCATTAGTAACTGCTTCCACTACCAGACTGCAGCTTCCTTGGAGTCATCTGTGTATTGCATTTGCTTTAAGCAGACTAGACAATTTATAGATACATATCAATCTGGACTAATTCTAATCTAGGAGATTCTAAGAGACAGTGAAGAGAAGTTTAAACAACTGTAAATATTACATCCTTTAAGAATTAATGAGAAGGCAAAAGATGGAATTATATCACCTTTAAGATGTACATTCATATGAAGCATTAGAATATTTTGACCATGAATATACACAAAACCTTTTTATATCACTAATGGTACTTCCTATCACCTTGAATTTTTTAAAAATGGTTTTGCTGTCATACATAAAGACCATGACCATATCCACACATTTTCCAATAATTTAATATATATTTTACAAAGAACAGTTTTTATTTCAGTGTTTTCCCTAGCAATGTAAAATAGCCATTAAACCCATCTTATGATTTCAAGTATAGTTATATAATTATGGAACCTGTAATGAATATTGATACTGTTTTACTGTGTTTTATGTTGCTCTTTCTCTGGTATGCACTCTCTCATCTGTTTTTTAGCAAACTGAATTAATAGTATACATTCATAGTTTTCTAGATTCATCTATCTAAATTAAAAATTATTTTCTTTCATGACTATATCACATACCTCATACTAGCCCTGTGACTTTCTTACTATGCCTATGTGTATTAAAACAAGTGACTTCATTTACAAACATTTATAAAGAAATGAATTATATGTTTGTGTCATTTTAGGCTTGGACTTTTTATGTGTGATATGCTGCCTATCTCTTTAAATCATTCAAAAGATAATATTTAAGAAAACATTGATGTTTAAAACAGATACCAAAATTAATTTATATGCCGAGAGTTACTGTGTTCTGAAACCTTAAACATCAGTAACTTTTAAACATTTAAAAATTTTCTTAATATTAAAAACCTATTGGCTCCACTCTATTAGACAGAATATTTGGGTCATGATTAGCTGGAAGACCGGTGGCTTTGTAGACAAAATACTAAATGCTTACTAAATTTGCTCTTTATTTTTTTTAAGTAAGAACACTAATAGGTTGCTAAACCTAGGGACAGTTTAAAGTATAGTCAAAATATAAATATAAAAATTAGTTAATGTATCAAGATGTAATAGACATTTTTGTCATCCCAGGTGTAAGGAGGAATGCTTTTTATATTATAACTTTAACTGAAATTATGAATTTTTCAAAGATATGTGCTGGAAAAAACTGTGATACAGCTCATAGTTTCAATGTCTTCTACCTTTCAAAAAAAGTTCCAAGTTTTCTTGAGCTCTCTGGAGTTTAAAAACATTGCTGGTATCTTCCTGCAGTCTAAATTTAGTGAAATAGGCAGAATAATTGACTTTTGAAATATACAAAAGTCACTGCTCCTTTATGCTTCACTTCTCCATCCTCACGTATTTGTCCATTGATGTTAATTTATAGTATTAGTTTCTTATTAGTTGTACATGTTTTGTTATGGGATTTACCTAATTTTTAATTTACCAAAAATTAAATATAGGATACAGATAAGCCTATAGTATCAGCTTTTTCCAATTATAAGAAACTTAAGCACTTAGAGTTGAACTAACTACTGAATACTTAACTTATATTAGGGTATTTCAGTCTTGGACTAAGAATAAACGCACATATCTAGGACAGAAAGCCAGATATGTCAAATAAGCAATATGAAATGCAAAACCTGCCCCTTTGCCGTAATTGTACAGATTCTGTTTTGTTAATATGTATTAAAATATTCCCTCAAGCTGAGGCTTACCCCTTTATATGTTTTCATGAAAACTATAAAAAATTTCTTTCGTTGGTGAATTCTGCAGGACTTTCTTTGCCGATGACCCCTGTCATTTTAGAAGCAGGAATAAAAATTTGAGAAGCAGGTAGTATAGGGATTCACTTCAAGCCATAAACCATTTCTTTTGTGGTTGCATATTCTGCTTAGTGGGCTGTGCTCAAGATTTCCAATTACTACCCCACTTGTATAAAAGGTTTTTGTTTTGGTACTCTGAGCTTGAGGGCAGAGAGCACTGGAGTAGTTAGCAAACTGGCTGTACTGGGAATTCCTCTCCTGTTAGTGTTTTATTCATAGCATCCAATCTGTGGAATATTTTTCTACAAAACATCTTTTTACTTATTATTTTATTAAATAATTAATTTTAGAGAGAGAGAGAGAGAAAGGGAGAGATAAAGAGAGGGAGAGAAACATTGATCTGTTGCCTGTCATATGCGCCCTGACCAGGACCAAACCCGCAACCGGGGCGTGTGCCCTGACCAGGAATCCAACGGGTGACCTTTTGCCTTGCGGGATGACACCCACCAACTGAGATACTCTGGTCAAAACCTACAAAACACCTTTTTCAAATAACTATACTATGCATTAATTTTCTCAAGTTTATGGAAATAATTTTTTGAAATACTTTTTTTATACCTTTCTCATGGTTTAAAAATTCTAGTTTTACTCAAATTAGGATTAGAAATTCAAAATGGTTTTTCTTTTTTTAAGTTCTAAATAAAAATCACACAAATTAATAGTGTATTTTATGTGCATGTATGTTACAAATCTGAACCTGTATCCCACGTGACTGCACAGATGTGCATAGAGCGAAAGCCCCTTTTCTTTAGAAATTTCTGTATTTTGATAACATTAATCCATGTAGAGGGCCATGAGTATTTTTATTTTTAAGATCTCTAATATGTGACTTCTCCTTCACTTTTTTAATGGGAATACTATGAGAGTCCCATTTTATACCTATAATGATGAGCACCTGGTATAAAGTATGGGCTTCAGTATTGACATTTTTCCCAGGTACCTTGCTCACTGTCCTATCAGACGGAACTTCCGTGTTTCTCAAATATCCTCTGTTCGTATCCAGATGATTTAATTTCTCTCCTTACCTGGATATAGAAGCCTCCTTTTCCATCAGTGCTCAGCCTAAAATTCTT